TCTTCTTCTTCTTCTTCTTCTTCTTCTTCTTCTTCTTCTTCTTCTTCTTCTTCTTCTTCTTCTTCTTCTTCTTCTTCTTCTTCTTCTTCTTCTTCTTCTTCTTCTTCTTCTTCTTCTTCTTCTTCTTCTTCTTCTTCTTCTTCTTCTTCTTCTTCTTCTTCTTCTTCTTCTTCTTCTTCTTCTTCTTCTTCTTCTTCTTCTTCTTCTTCTTCTTCTTCTTCTTCTTCTTCTTCTTCTTCTTCTTCTTCTTCTTCTTCTTCTTCTTCTTCTTCTTCTTCTTCTTCTTCTTCTTCTTCTTCTTCTTCTTCTTCTTCTTCTTCTTCTTCTTCTTCTTCTTCTTCTTCTTCTTCTTCTTCTTCTTCTTCTTCTTCTTCTTCTTCTTCTTCTTCTTCTTCTTCTTCTTCTTCTTCTTCTTCTTCTTCTTCTTCTTCTTCTTCTTCTTCTTCTTCTTCTTCTTCTTCTTCTTCTTCTTCTTCTTCTTCTTCTTCTTCTTCTTCTTCTTCTTCTTCTTCTTCTTCTTCTTCTTCTTCTTCTTCTTCTTCTTCTTCTTCTTCTTCTTCTTCTTCTTCTTCTTCTTCTTCTTCTTCTTCTTCTTCTTCTTCTTCTTCTTCTTCTTCTTCTTCTTCTTCTTCTTCTTCTTCTTCTTCTTCTTCTTCTTCTTCTTCTTCTTCTTCTTCTTCTTCTTCTTCTTCTTCTTCTTCTTCTTCTTCTTCTTCTTCTTCTTCTTCTTCTTCTTCTTCTTCTTCTTCTTCTTCTTCTTCTTCTTCTTCTTCTTCTTCTTCTTCTTCTTCTTCTTCTTCTTCTTCTTCTTCTTCTTCTTCTTCTTCTTCTTCTTCTTCTTCTTCTTCTTCTTCTTCTTCTTCTTCTTCTTCTTCTTCTTCTTCTTCTTCTTCTTCTTCTTCTTCTTCTTCTTCTTCTTCTTCTTCTTCTTCTTCTTCTTCTTCTTCTTCTTCTTCTTCTTCTTCTTCTTCTTCTTCTTCTTCTTCTTCTTCTTCTTCTTCTTCTTCTTCTTCTTCTTCTTCTTCTTCTTCTTCTTCTTCTTCTTCTTCTTCTTCTTCTTCTTCTTCTTCTTCTTCTTCTTCTTCTTCTTCTTCTTCTTCTTCTTCTTCTTCTTCTTCTTCTTCTTCTTCTTCTTCTTCTTCTTCTTCTTCTTCTTCTTCTTCTTCTTCTTCTTCTTCTTCTTCTTCTTCTTCTTCTTCTTCTTCTTCTTCTTCTTCTTCTTCTTCTTCTTCTTCTTCTTCTTCTTCTTCTTCTTCTTCTTCTTCTTCTTCTTCTTCTTCTTCTTCTTCTTCTTCTTCTTCTTCTTCTTCTTCTTCTTCTTCTTCTTCTTCTTCTTCTTCTTCTTCTTCTTCTTCTTCTTCTTCTTCTTCTTCTTCTTCTTCTTCTTCTTCTTCTTCTTCTTCTTCTTCTTCTTCTTCTTCTTCTTCTTCTTCTTCTTCTTCTTCTTCTTCTTCTTCTTCTTCTTCTTCTTCTTCTTCTTCTTCTTCTTCTTCTTCTTCTTCTTCTTCTTCTTCTTCTTCTTCTTCTTCTTCTTCTTCTTCTTCTTCTTCTTCTTCTTCTTCTTCTTCTTCTTCTTCTTCTTCTTCTTCTTCTTCTTCTTCTTCTTCTTCTTCTTCTTCTTCTTCTTCTTCTTCTTCTTCTTCTTCTTCTTCTTCTTCTTCTTCTTCTTCTTCTTCTTCTTCTTCTTCTTCTTCTTCTTCTTCTTCTTCTTCTTCTTCTTCTTCTTCTTCTTCTTCTTCTTCTTCTTCTTCTTCTTCTTCTTCTTCTTCTTCTTCTTCTTCTTCTTCTTCTTCTTCTTCTTCTTCTTCTTCTTCTTCTTCTTCTTCTTCTTCTTCTTCTTCTTCTTCTTCTTCTTCTTCTTCTTCTTCTTCTTCTTCTTCTTCTTCTTCTTCTTCTTCTTCTTCTTCTTCTTCTTCTTCTTCTTCTTCTTCTTCTTCTTCTTCTTCTTCTTCTTCTTCTTCTTCTTCTTCTTCTTCTTCTTCTTCTTCTTCTTCTTCTTCTTCTTCTTCTTCTTCTTCTTCTTCTTCTTCTTCTTCTTCTTCTTCTTCTTCTTCTTCTTCTTCTTCTTCTTCTTCTTCTTCTTCTTCTTCTTCTTCTTCTTCTTCTTCTTCTTCTTCTTCTTCTTCTTCTTCTTCTTCTTCTTCTTCTTCTTCTTCTTCTTCTTCTTCTTCTTCTTCTTCTTCTTCTTCTTCTTCTTCTTCTTCTTCTTCTTCTTCTTCTTCTTCTTCTTCTTCTTCTTCTTCTTCTTCTTCTTCTTCTTCTTCTTCTTCTTCTTCTTCTTCTTCTTCTTCTTCTTCTTCTTCTTCTTCTTCTTCTTCTTCTTCTTCTTCTTCTTCTTCTTCTTCTTCTTCTTCTTCTTCTTCTTCTTCTTCTTCTTCTTCTTCTTCTTCTTCTTCTTCTTCTTCTTCTTCTTCTTCTTCTTCTTCTTCTTCTTCTTCTTCTTCTTCTTCTTCTTCTTCTTCTTCTTCTTCTTCTTCTTCTTCTTCTTCTTCTTCTTCTTCTTCTTCTTCTTCTTCTTCTTCTTCTTCTTCTTCTTCTTCTTCTTCTTCTTCTTCTTCTTCTTCTTCTTCTTCTTCTTCTTCTTCTTCTTCTTCTTCTTCTTCTTCTTCTTCTTCTTCTTCTTCTTCTTCTTCTTCTTCTTCTTCTTCTTCTTCTTCTTCTTCTTCTTCTTCTTCTTCTTCTTCTTCTTCTTCTTCTTCTTCTTCTTCTTCTTCTTCTTCTTCTTCTTCTTCTTCTTCTTCTTCTTCTTCTTCTTCTTCTTCTTCTTCTTCTTCTTCTTCTTCTTCTTCTTCTTCTTCTTCTTCTTCTTCTTCTTCTTCTTCTTCTTCTTCTTCTTCTTCTTCTTCTTCTTCTTCTTCTTCTTCTTCTTCTTCTTCTTCTTCTTCTTCTTCTTCTTCTTCTTCTTCTTCTTCTTCTTCTTCTTCTTCTTCTTCTTCTTCTTCTTCTTCTTCTTCTTCTTCTTCTTCTTCTTCTTCTTCTTCTTCTTCTTCTTCTTCTTCTTCTTCTTCTTCTTCTTCTTCTTCTTCTTCTTCTTCTTCTTCTTCTTCTTCTTCTTCTTCTTCTTCTTCTTCTTCTTCTTCTTCTTCTTCTTCTTCTTCTTCTTCTTCTTCTTCTTCTTCTTCTTCTTCTTCTTCTTCTTCTTCTTCTTCTTCTTCTTCTTCTTCTTCTTCTTCTTCTTCTTCTTCTTCTTCTTCTTCTTCTTCTTCTTCTTCTTCTTCTTCTTCTTCTTCTTCTTCTTCTTCTTCTTCTTCTTCTTCTTCTTCTTCTTCTTCTTCTTCTTCTTCTTCTTCTTCTTCTTCTTCTTCTTCTTCTTCTTCTTCTTCTTCTTCTTCTTCTTCTTCTTCTTCTTCTTCTTCTTCTTCTTCTTCTTCTTCTTCTTCTTCTTCTTCTTCTTCTTCTTCTTCTTCTTCTTCTTCTTCTTCTTCTTCTTCTTCTTCTTCTTCTTCTTCTTCTTCTTCTTCTTCTTCTTCTTCTTCTTCTTCTTCTTCTTCTTCTTCTTCTTCTTCTTCTTCTTCTTCTTCTTCTTCTTCTTCTTCTTCTTCTTCTTCTTCTTCTTCTTCTTCTTCTTCTTCTTCTTCTTCTTCTTCTTCTTCTTCTTCTTCTTCTTCTTCTTCTTCTTCTTCTTCTTCTTCTTCTTCTTCTTCTTCTTCTTCTTCTTCTTCTTCTTCTTCTTCTTCTTCTTCTTCTTCTTCTTCTTCTTCTTCTTCTTCTTCTTCTTCTTCTTCTTCTTCTTCTTCTTCTTCTTCTTCTTCTTCTTCTTCTTCTTCTTCTTCTTCTTCTTCTTCTTCTTCTTCTTCTTCTTCTTCTTCTTCTTCTTCTTCTTCTTCTTCTTCTTCTTCTTCTTCTTCTTCTTCTTCTTCTTCTTCTTCTTCTTCTTCTTCTTCTTCTTCTTCTTCTTCTTCTTCTTCTTCTTCTTCTTCTTCTTCTTCTTCTTCTTCTTCTTCTTCTTCTTCTTCTTCTTCTTCTTCTTCTTCTTCTTCTTCTTCTTCTTCTTCTTCTTCTTCTTCTTCTTCTTCTTCTTCTTCTTCTTCTTCTTCTTCTTCTTCTTCTTCTTCTTCTTCTTCTTCTTCTTCTTCTTCTTCTTCTTCTTCTTCTTCTTCTTCTTCTTCTTCTTCTTCTTCTTCTTCTTCTTCTTCTTCTTCTTCTTCTTCTTCTTCTTCTTCTTCTTCTTCTTCTTCTTCTTCTTCTTCTTCTTCTTCTTCTTCTTCTTCTTCTTCTTCTTCTTCTTCTTCTTCTTCTTCTTCTTCTTCTTCTTCTTCTTCTTCTTCTTCTTCTTCTTCTTCTTCTTCTTCTTCTTCTTCTTCTTCTTCTTCTTCTTCTTCTTCTTCTTCTTCTTCTTCTTCTTCTTCTTCTTCTTCTTCTTCTTCTTCTTCTTCTTCTTCTTCTTCTTCTTCTTCTTCTTCTTCTTCTTCTTCTTCTTCTTCTTCTTCTTCTTCTTCTTCTTCTTCTTCTTCTTCTTCTTCTTCTTCTTCTTCTTCTTCTTCTTCTTCTTCTTCTTCTTCTTCTTCTTCTTCTTCTTCTTCTTCTTCTTCTTCTTCTTCTTCTTCTTCTTCTTCTTCTTCTTCTTCTTCTTCTTCTTCTTCTTCTTCTTCTTCTTCTTCTTCTTCTTCTTCTTCTTCTTCTTCTTCTTCTTCTTCTTCTTCTTCTTCTTCTTCTTCTTCTTCTTCTTCTTCTTCTTCTTCTTCTTCTTCTTCTTCTTCTTCTTCTTCTTCTTCTTCTTCTTCTTCTTCTTCTTCTTCTTCTTCTTCTTCTTCTTCTTCTTCTTCTTCTTCTTCTTCTTCTTCTTCTTCTTCTTCTTCTTCTTCTTCTTCTTCTTCTTCTTCTTCTTCTTCTTCTTCTTCTTCTTCTTCTTCTTCTTCTTCTTCTTCTTCTTCTTCTTCTTCTTCTTCTTCTTCTTCTTCTTCTTCTTCTTCTTCTTCTTCTTCTTCTTCTTCTTCTTCTTCTTCTTCTTCTTCTTCTTCTTCTTCTTCTTCTTCTTCTTCTTCTTCTTCTTCTTCTTCTTCTTCTTCTTCTTCTTCTTCTTCTTCTTCTTCTTCTTCTTCTTCTTCTTCTTCTTCTTCTTCTTCTTCTTCTTCTTCTTCTTCTTCTTCTTCTTCTTCTTCTTCTTCTTCTTCTTCTTCTTCTTCTTCTTCTTCTTCTTCTTCTTCTTCTTCTTCTTCTTCTTCTTCTTCTTCTTCTTCTTCTTCTTCTTCTTCTTCTTCTTCTTCTTCTTCTTCTTCTTCTTCTTCTTCTTCTTCTTCTTCTTCTTCTTCTTCTTCTTCTTCTTCTTCTTCTTCTTCTTCTTCTTCTTCTTCTTCTTCTTCTTCTTCTTCTTCTTCTTCTTCTTCTTCTTCTTCTTCTTCTTCTTCTTCTTCTTCTTCTTCTTCTTCTTCTTCTTCTTCTTCTTCTTCTTCTTCTTCTTCTTCTTCTTCTTCTTCTTCTTCTTCTTCTTCTTCTTCTTCTTCTTCTTCTTCTTCTTCTTCTTCTTCTTCTTCTTCTTCTTCTTCTTCTTCTTCTTCTTCTTCTTCTTCTTCTTCTTCTTCTTCTTCTTCTTCTTCTTCTTCTTCTTCTTCTTCTTCTTCTTCTTCTTCTTCTTCTTCTTCTTCTTCTTCTTCTTCTTCTTCTTCTTCTTCTTCTTCTTCTTCTTCTTCTTCTTCTTCTTCTTCTTCTTCTTCTTCTTCTTCTTCTTCTTCTTCTTCTTCTTCTTCTTCTTCTTCTTCTTCTTCTTCTTCTTCTTCTTCTTCTTCTTCTTCTTCTTCTTCTTCTTCTTCTTCTTCTTCTTCTTCTTCTTCTTCTTCTTCTTCTTCTTCTTCTTCTTCTTCTTCTTCTTCTTCTTCTTCTTCTTCTTCTTCTTCTTCTTCTTCTTCTTCTTCTTCTTCTTCTTT